GAGATGTTGACCTGTAAAGAGAGTCCCTTCTCTAAATGGCCTCCAAGGCATGGGAGGAGCAGCAAGGCATGCTGGAAAGCCAAAGGGAAACTGTTTCCATCCTCCTACTATAAACTAATTATCATAACTCGTATACAGGAAAAGGACTTTAAAGAGGTCATATACATTATATTATTGATGAACATTTTGTTCCGTGTGCACATGGTTCCATGATTCCTCCCTTGCTTTTTAAAACTCACAGACTGATAATTCCTTATTGTTCCAAGACATTTATTGCATGACAGCGTATGCAAGTTAACTTCTTCCAAATATCCCTTAAACCTTGAATGAAAAGGGTTTACTTTGTGAATAAATATTTGAGCTTTTTCGGGGGGGGGGGGGAACCACTCACACAAATGCACATCTACTCACAATGTGCATATAAAATACACTTTGCATTACTGATATCTGGGAGCTGCTATTATAAGCACACTTGTAGAAATATTTAAATGCTAATTGATTTGTTACATAAACAAATTGGCTTCAAACGTACATTGTGTAATTATTTAACAACTAGCAGTAAAGCCCGTTGTGAAAGCAATACAATGAGATCTAGAAAGAGGCTCTGGGGGAGTGCTCTGGCTTTGGGCAAACAGTGTCAATTTGCTGTGGTGACCTCAGCAGGGTATAATGACAGAGTCCACTGTTTTCTCCAGAGGAACTGATCTCTGCTACCTGAAGAGCAGTTGTAATTGTGAGTGATCTGTAGCCCTCACCTGGAGATTGGCAGCAATTGTTACCCAGGACAAAATGGCTGGTTTGAAGGGTGGAGTTGGCAACCCCATCTCCTTCCCAGCTAACCATCAACCTACCATTATCTGCCCCTTTGACTTCAGCTGACTTCTGCCGAGCAGTTGCAATTCTGATTGCTCTCCAGCCCTAACCTGGAGATTGGCAACAATGGTTCCCTGTATGGGACTGATTGGTTTGGTGGGTGGAGTCTATGGCATTGTACCTGTCTGAGGTCCCACCCCTCCTCAAACCTCACCCTCTTCAGGCTCCATCCCTCAAATCTCCAGGAATTTCCCATCTGGAGTTGGCAACCCTATCAGGACTGGCCCCAATGTGTTTTCTCCCAAAGGCCAAAGTAGGTGACAGGCCCACGCTTAGTTGCCTACCAACAGGCACTGAGGGGAATGTAGGGTTGCCAGCGCTAAGGAGGGAAATACCTGGAGATTTGGGGGGTGGATCCTGTGGAGGGCAGCATTGGGCAGGGGGGTGGAAGGACTCAGCAGGTATAATGTCATAGGGTCTACCCTCCAAAGCAGCCATTTTCTCCAGGGGAACTGATCTCTGTCATCTGGAGATCAATTGTAACAGTGGGAGATCTCCAGGTCCCACCTGGAGATTGGCAACCCTAGGGAAAAGTCAGCTGCACAGCAGGGGGTTGAAGAGAATGGTTTGATGGCTGCTGGGCCAAGATTGGCAACAATAGTTCCCCAGGAGCCCCATCGTAAATGCACCAAACAATTCCTAAAGATTTTCCAAAAAACTACTCTGTCAATAAATTGCAACACTTTGAATTAGCACCAAAGCTTTAAGAGCTCTCCAGCTGTCACCTGGAGACTGGCAACAGCTTGTCTGGAGTGTGGGCAGTATGGCATTGTATCTGTCTGAGGTCCCCCTCTTCCTCCTCCTCCTCAGACCCCACCCTCAGCAG